ATATATATTATATTATTATTATATTATATTATATTATATTATATTATATTATATTATATTATATTATATTATATTATATTATCATATTATTATGTATATTGTATAACGTAATTATAAATATATAAATATATATTGTAGGTTCATGCTTAAAATTAAATATTCTCTCGATCTGCGACGAGCAAAGTATAACTTTCCGTTTAGAAAAGGGAAGTTGACCCTGAAATTTCGAGAACTACACTGTGCACGAAAATACAGCGAACACGACATCATTCCTGGCCCTTAAAACTCCACGAAATTGTTGATTTAACAATTTTTAATTAGACGCATGATTTGAAAGTTATCTGGTACGCGCAAGTTAGACGGCTCGCGCTCCACGCACATAATGAAACGGGTTTCGGCGTTCCCGACAAGGACGAAATTATAATTATTGTGCTACGTTAAAAAGTTCCGCGGCCGGGACAGAACGCTGGAAAACTGTTGCTATCGTTAACTTTGTCGAGCTTCGTTGCCGCTGGAAACGGCCGGGAACGCAATCATTTTAATTTGCGAGCGTAACCCGATACTATTCGCCGATCGTAATGAATAATTAAACTGGCGTCTCGCGTTCCCAAAGCGTACGCGGTCGGATGACGTTAAAAAAAATTTCGGATCTCGGAGTCGCTGCGATGCTCGAGGAACTCGAAACAACAGTGGCAATTTGAGAAATGTTCGGAGATCGGAATTGAAACCGGCAGATACGAGAATACTATGGCGCGATTCTTCGAGCCTCGTGGTTCGTCTTCATGGAAACTCGGGGCGCTTTTTTGTTTCTAATTTTTTGGCGCGATTCGAAGGCGATTCGGGGACCACGTGATATGATTCGAAGGCAATTCGAAGGCTATATGGAGGCCAATTTGGAGGCCACGTGACACGATTCGAAGGCAATTCGAGGGCCACATGCCACTATTTGAAGGAAATTTGGAGGCCACGTGATACGATTCGAAGGCAATTCGGAGACCATATGACAATTTGAGGCAACGTGATGCGATTCGAAGGCAATTCGGAGGCCACATGACAATTTGGAGACTACATGACACGATTCGAAGGCGATTCGTAGGCCACGTGCCACGATAATAAATAGACACGTAGCAATAAATTACATAGGTGTAGGACTAGCGCATGGAAATTCCCAGCAACCCGAAATTCGGCATTTCCGGGAGAAATATTCCGATTTCAGCGAGCGGTCGAAATCCGATCGAAACTATCAAAGATTCTTAATTCCCGCGGAAGTTTCGCGGCGGAGGAGAACCCGTTAAAGCCGAAACGACACATTACCGCCGGCATTCCGTCCGGCAGGATCCCCGGAACCGTGAAACTTTCGCCGATACAATTATTTCACAGGGCCACGACCATAAACAAAAAGTTTAGCGTCCCGCGCAATGAAAACGATCCTCGCGATCCCACCGATGAACTGTAATTACCGAAGGATCACGGCTTGCGGCGGCAAAATTGATAGCCTTATTCCGTTCACGCTCGACGCGTTGAACGCCGCGGAGGTCACCGGTGGCCGGCGCCGAGTTTGTTCGTTAATTGTCGCGAACTATGGTGTAAACGGAATGCTGCCGTGGGTGCTATAGGGCCGGGACAAAGAAGGGCTCGTAAATGAATCCTGTCCACGCTCGTAGGGGTGCAACGCGAAGTTTATTCGGAAAAGATCGGAGCCGGCTTCGAAACAGAAACTCGCCGTAACACCGCCGCGCGTTCTCGAAGTGAACCTTTCGGCTTGTTCGTCAGGATATTTATACGGTTTTTTACGAGGGCCATGGCCCTGCTGACGGTCCTCCTGCTCATGGTCCTTTTGAGATTAGGGCGACGTCGACGAAAAATCCCGCGAAAATGCTCCTTAGCTTGCATGCTGCGGTCATAGTGCACGTTTATTGCTAGGGGTGGTACCAAAATTTATCGTCCAATTTTGATACTTCTTTGATAACCTTGACATAACACAATTGTAGAAGTAATTGTATATAATCATATATTATATATTATTATAATTATATATTATATATCACAATATATAATATGATATATTATGATAATTAAACATTATATATTATGATAATCGTGCATTATACAATATATTATGAAAAACAAACAACAACGATCAAACCGAGCATCGAAACAATTTAACCGGGAACAGAAAGCATTTTGAAGGGTGCAAAAGGGTGCCCGTTCGCCGTGTAATTTACACAAGGTTTAATCGGGCAATCGAGCCAGATATTTTAATCGATGAACGCCGACGCCGCCAGAGATGCTGTTTGAATTTGAGCCGCGCGTAGAACGCTTTCCGCGGCTAATCAGCGGGATAATTAACCGACTGCGAGCTGGGGACGACGCTCGGTTTCAATTCGGCGTTGTCAGAAGTTCCAAAAGTACGGAGCACGAGGTGAAATTCGCGAAGTTCGCGGAGCCGTGTCGCGACCGAGAAAACGCGGACACGATTTTCCACGGGGAAAGCGGGATGCCGGTGCGAGGAGAGTCGGCGGAGAATTAGCGGCACCTATCCAGAGATTGGAATCGGTAATCGCGCTGCTTATCGCGGCCGATTGAAACGGTCGGGGCCGACAACGGTTCTGCTCGGGGCCGGGCGACGAATAACCATTGCCGATCGCGTGAATGAGAATGACGCCGCTGCGGGTGGCGCTGAATACCAGATGGGGAATGCGAATCGAGAGGGTTGAAGCCTCCCCCGTGCGGAGCTGGAGGGGCGGCGGTGCAAGGGGTGGCGACTCCCATAGCCAAGGTATAAAATCAGACGGCGGATACCTGGAGGTATTCAGTGCAGGTCAGATCTCCGTGGCACATCGGTTCATCGAGTTTCGATCCTCGACTCTGGAGAAGCGGTATCGAGCACACGTCGCCGCGATGAGAAACGCAAATCACTTATTCGTAGTCCTGGCCGTTCTGATATTTTCTACCTCTCTAAACCGTAAGTGAGGCCGGGCCGATGATCGATCGATCGATCGACGCTCGTCCCGATCCATCCGGTCGTCGTATTTCTCGCGGTTTCGCGGCTCGTCGCGCAAGAAAACTCGCCGCCGTTTTTCTTTCTCCTCTCCGCGGCCGAAATTTTCCGCCGTACTTTTCCGAACACTCTTTTAGCGAACCTCGTTGACCGCCGCGCTACAGGCCCTTTTTTCCCCGAAACAATGTCCCGTCGGGAGACGGGAGCGCAAACGGGAGATCTCGTCGACGGATCGCAACGAGTCGCATCGTCCGCATTCCGCGACGTTCGAGCCCCCGACGCGTTTCTCACGCGACGGAATCGGTCGCCGCGAATGCTGTTCGCGCCAGCGAGCACGCGAGACTCGGATTCCGTGTAATCCGACGGATCGGGGGGCGAGGGGTGCCGCGAATAGCCTCTCGAATCTCTGTTTCGCCGATCGGCTCGCCCGGCAAATCCAGCGGAACGCGGCGAAACCGATCGATCGAGCGGGCGCCCCTCGATCGAGCCTTAATCCTTTGATCTTCCAGAGGCGGAGAAGTTGAAAGCGAACGTTAGACGAACGTCGGGCCTGGTCCCGTACCCGAGGATCGGCCGGAACGCAGAGATGCTGAGACCGAGGCCCGACCGTGCCGCCGGATTGGTGCAGTTCCCGAGGGTCGGCCGATCCGATCTACCAGCCTCGAATGTTAATTTCAACCGGTACCGCGATCCCGAGAACGACGGGGATCTCCAGTTTTATAACGTGCGCGACCTGGAGCTGGATGCCGCCCTCGATCAGGATTACGAAGGTGAACCGCCGATCCTTATGATCCATTTCGCGAGCCACGAGCGACGGAAGCTCGGAATGCAAAGCAGAAGCCCGCGGGAGAGGATCGATTCGCGTTTTCTTTCCGCGAGGATTGCGAATATCAAGATGAATTCCGCGGTCGGGGATAAATCGCGGTTGCACCGGCAAAGATATTCCGCGTTACGACCGGAACGGATTCTTGCTCGCGGATCTCGAACACGAAGATAGATCGCGCTGTTCGGCGAGCGGAAGTGCCCGAGCGCGAGGATGAATCGCGAAGGTGCTTCCGGTCGCACGAGAGTTGCAGAACAAATTCTCGGCGTCGCGATCGTCGAGACGTCCCGGGACGCACCAGGGTGGTCCCAGGAGTGGTCCCGACCTAGTTAAAAAGACACAAGAAATTTGGGAGGAAATATCTTGATTTTTCTCAACGCAATCTCCTTTCGGCTGGATACAGTTCTCCCAACGGTGTTTTGTAGCCTCGATAGCCTGTTCACAGTGGAACCATCGAGTTCCTCAAAATAGCCATTAAATTTTGTCAAGTTTGGACAGAGAGAATAGTCCACGGGGGGTTAAATCTGGCGGAGAGGGTGCGCGAGGGAGCAATTCGAACTTGAACTCCTGGNAACAACTACAGAAACAAGCTACAAGGCTCGAATAATCGTATCTCCTCTTCCCGAATTGTCCATTTCTGTGCACAATCTGTGAGCGTCAATTAGGAAAAATTTACTGTACACACAACATAATAGCTTTCAAGCATTCGAAATTCATAAATGCGTTGGATTTAAGAGTCAGAGATATGTCAGAACATTAGTTTTGTGACGACATTCGCCAACCCTACTTTACCGAGCGGAGAGCTCGGTATATAGTTCTTGACGCTTCCGTTAGAGACATATACGAGGGTAGTCCCAGAGAAGTAGCCGATTTAACAAAGAAAGTACAAGAAATTTCGGAGGAATTATCTTTATTTTTCAACATAATCTCCTTTTAGTTGGGTACACTTTCCCCAGTGGTGTTCAATAGCTTCGATACCTTGTTTATAGTGAGAATCTTCGAACTCCTTAAAATAGCCATTTTTTAACCGCGGACTTCCACCTCTTCGTTATTGGAAAATTTTTTACCACCGAACCATTTTTTCAAGTTTGGAAAGAGGAAATAATCCGAGGGAGCTAAATCTGGCGAATAGGGTGCGCGAGGGAGCAATTCGAACTTGAACTCCTGGATTTTGGCCATCGCGATGACGTTAATTTGTGAACCGGTGCATTGTCTCGGTGAAACAACGTTTTCTTTCCCGCCAAATGCGGCGCTTTTTCCTCGATTATGTCGCTTAAACGCTGCAGAAAATTCGCGTAATACTCGCAGTCGATCGTTTTCCCTTTCTCAAGATAATCAACGAGGATTATTCCACGCCAAAACACTGACGCCGCGAGCTTGCGTCGCCTTCTTCGCCTTCTTCGGAGGTGGTTTTCCCTTTACAGTCAATTATTTCGACCGATCCTTCGACTCAGGTGTGAATCGAAGAACTCAGGATTCATCCGTGATTACGAATCGACGCGAGAACTCGGCTTTATTCCTGCGAATCGTCGCGAAACCCGCGCTCGAAACACCCTCGCGACGCTGCTTTTGTTCGATCGCGCGGCGCCCATCTTGCGCACAGCTTTCTCGTATCCAAATTTTCGGTCGATACGCGATGTACAGCACTTTTTTAAATGCCTACCGTGTCTGTAAACTCGTATACTTTCAGTCGACGATCGTCCAATACCGTTTTATTTACCTTTTTCACCGTTTCCGGCGCGGTCGCTTCGTTTGATCGACCACCGCGGCGATCGTGTTGGCAGCTCGTACGGGCTCGTTTAAATTCTGCCACGCAATATTTTATTGTTGCAAACGAAGTAGTAGACTCCTCTAGAGCTAAATCTAGCTCAATTTTGATATCGGTTGCACTGAGACCTTTCAAACGAAAATATTGCGTCGCGTAACGATGGCCAATTCTTCTCCGTGCTTACAAATTCGCCGAGAGCGTTCGCTATTAACGACTGTCAAACAAATACTGAACAACGTAGCGTCTTCAAGCTTGAAACTTAAGCTTCGAAAGGTCGCTGCTTTCGTGGACCACCCTCGTAAATACGATTCGCGAAGACTCGTCTCGCGCGGGGAACAAATTCCGTGTAGAATGATAGATCGCGAATTTTGCGCCGGAGATTCCGCGGTCGAAGACAGATTGCGGCTCGCGTCGTAGATTGATCCCGCGATTGCGGAGATCGCCGGATGAACGATCGTTGCGAACGGAGTGGTTCAGTCGATAATATTGTGCCAGGATTCCAAGGAAGATCGAGGAACAAGAACAGCCGGGACCAATGGATCACGGGCGAGCGTTCGCGGGAGTATCGACCGGCGCAGAAGATCGATGAGCCGAGGCCGCTGTTCGCCCAAGGTATTATTATTGCGTGCGCGAAACGGCGAATTTCGATGGAATTGTAGATTCGTTCGGCGAATTTGAAGGATCGATCCGGGGCGGTGCTCGTTTCATAAATTCTCGCGCGCGTCGCGCTAGCGAGCATTCCGCGAGCAGCGCCACTAATGTATCCCCTTTCGGAATATCCGCCAGATCATTTATCCGCTACCTCTCTCTCGTTATTTTATTTTCCCTCTTTTTTTTCTCTCGCATATCGGCCTCCGTAAAAACCGGGCGCCTTTTTTTGCGGGACCCGCGGGCCGCGCGAAAATCGATCCCGTTGATACGTGATCCGGGAGCGAAAGTGCGGACGTGTACCGCGAATGTTCTGTTGATGCGACCCGGCCCGCGATCCAAATGCCAATTTCATTTTTAGCATAGCGACCCTCTTGTTTCCCGCCGGCCGGAAGAGCGTCGCGATCGCCTCGAAATTTCGCCTCGTGGAACACGGCGGACGCGCGCAACGTTCGCGCGTTTCGCGCTTTCTTCGCCGCGTCAGACGCGTTACGAGAGAAGCTTGCATCGTCGGGCCTTGCGCGCAAGTTCTCCACAGAATTTCTTCAATTTTTTCTGTTAATAGTGGCGAAGATGCGCGAGTAAATTTCGATCCATTTCGTGAAATTATCTCTGATTTTATTGCCGGATTATTACCGAATAGTAAGCGCGGATTTCGTTGCTTTTACAAAACACCGCAGTATTCGATGCGTTCGCAGTAATACCGACACTTTAGACTCTTACCTTAAAATCGAAGCGCGATCGAACGCGTCCACGAATCGAAGGTCGCAAATTTTCCAACGTAGAAGGGATCTCGATGCTCCGATAAGAAGAGATCGGAAGAGAGGGCGGTCGTTACAGCATCCCGATCGCTGGTTCCAGGTCCCCGGAACAGTCAGCTGCCTCTGAACGACTACACGCCGCGGCTGGGACGCGAGACCGAATTTTAACGAGCTTCCGGCGAACGATCTTCGACACCGGCCATCCGACGACCGAGAAGTTCACTGGCGCACATTTCCGACATCAAGACTCGTTGATCCGTTCCAGTGACGCATAATATTAACTTTGTACAGAATGCTGCAAATAGATTCCTCTCTGTACACGAATATCGACGATCGTCGACGCTGTGTATCTCTATCGTCTCTTCCCCCCCCCCCCTTCCTCTTTGTCCCGCGCCGCCGGAAACATGATTTCACGAGCTTTTATTGGTTCCTTTGTCAGCGAAAATCGTCCGGACGTCTCGCGCGATTGATAAAGGCTGCGGAATTACATTTTCTTTCGCGAACTTGCGAATCCTTGCCGATCCGGCAATCCTATTCCAGGCGAACAGCCGGCTCCGCCCGGCGAGCTTCACGGCGAATACACTTAGCGATTGGTATCGGTCGCCGAAATTCGCCGGCAATTCCTCCGAATTGGAAAATGGACGGCAACCGAAAGACAGATCTCGTAGAATTCCGCTCTCCTTATGGAACGGACCCTATTCGGCGACATTATTTGCCCGATATTCCCGGATACGTCGCTTCGCGTGTGCTGCGACAGAATTGGAAAGCTGGTGTCCCAAACCATGTTGCAGACTATGTTGAACCCGCGAGCGGAATAATCGACGCGCGACGATCAATTAGACGACGTCTAATTGACGTTAGCTTACCGTAAATTGCGGATCTTTCGCAATTTTTCCCCGATTTTTGCTTCAGCTTGTGGACTAAAATGGGCGATTTGGGAAGAGAAGCTACGATTATTCGAGCCTGTTTTTCGAGGGAGAGTTTCGGCGAGATTTCCATGCGAGATCTACGGAATATAAACCTTATTTAATCTTTTAAATCGAAATGTGATTGATTCTTTTGTCACGAAAATCCAGGAATCGAAGTTAATGGAGACTCGCGAAAAACAAGGACTAATATTCCCATAAACGCAGTCGCGAAAGAATCGCGCACAAAACTGGACCAATCGATCGCGCGCGCGCGCGCGCGAGATTTATATCCTGAATTGAATAAATAATTTTCCTATATAATTTTCGAAGTGGAAATACGATTACTCGGCTCGTTTTTATACTCACCGATTCTCAGCAACTGTAAAAAAAAGAAACGAGCCGCGAGGCTCGAACAATCGTTCCCCGTTTTTCTTTGATTTTTCAAGCCGACACGTCTAGCAAATAGTTCTTTATTTACCACCTGATATGACATAATCGTGAAGGCATGTGACGCACGCGATGATCTGTCTTTTCTAATCGTGATTGTTCTCCGAAAATTTGTCGAATCGTGTCAGTAAACGCAGTCGTCTCGCGAAGCGAGAACACGTTTCATACCTTCTCGAACGAAACGAAAGTTCCAATCGAAAGTTTAAACAGCGAAAAGTCTCAAAATCATCCCCGCAACTAGATACAGTTATGTCTCCCTAATTGACGCTCAGAATGCGCAGAGAAATGGACAATTTGCGAAGAGGAGATACGATTATTCGAGCCCTCTAACTCGTTTTTTATAGTTGTTGACAATTCGTAATTATAATATAATTATAATAATATATTATTCGAACCGCAAGGCTCGAATAATCGTATCTCCTTCTCCCAAATTGTCCAGTTTTGTGGACAATCCGAGCGTCAATTAGAGAGACATTGCCGTACAATTCGACGAAACGAACGTAATCGAAAGACGCAGAACGAACGAACGAAAGGAGGATCGACGGGTCGGAGTAAAATCGTAATAAATCGTGGACAAGAACGCGATATATGTAAAATTCAATCGTTTTATTAATTGACAAAGTGTTCATAATGAATACCGGCGCGACGCGACGCGCCGGCCACGCTATAATACGTGTACTGCGATAACAAATATGTACACACGTAGAGTACGGTAACAAACTAGTGATACAGTTCGAGAATGAGTTAGGGAAGATAACCGGTAACATTACTTCGTCCCCTCGTTCCGTTCTTCCAGACGGCCGCGGGAGGGGTTCCCTCGGGATCGTTCTTATGTACATAACCAGCTCCCTGGCTCCGTGGATATTGGCAACTAGAAGAGACTTAGGTGCTAGGGTGACACACACACGCTCTCTCTCTCTCTCTCTCTCTCTCATCGTACACACATCGTCAGCACAGGCAGCCATTGTACGCCGACCAAGCATGCAAGCCGGATGACAAGCGAACGGACAAACGAGGCGTGTCGTTTCGTCTTCGCGAAACTTGCGCGTTCCTCGGCGAGCCGCGCCGTTATCCGTGCGCGCGCGGCATTCCGGGTCACAGATTAGGCACCTGGGATTGATCCTCGTCGCCCTGCGGACGCGCGAACGGCGTATGGGTGCTTCTCGTTCCGCGACAAGAAGTCCGTCGGTCGTTACCGCGCTTCGCCGTCGTCGCGATCCGCGCACTGGCCCGACGTAGACCGTCGCGAATCGACGGCCGCGCGAAACCGAGACTGTCCGTTCGTCGCGGCGGAAACGTCGATCGTCGACGATCTCGGACGAGGAATGTCGTCGCTTAGAAACGAGCGGTCGTACGAATAAGGAACGAGACGGCCTTGGACCTCTTTCTTGCACACTTTGCGACACACGCGCGATCGGGAAGACACATTGCGCCGAACGAGAGAACCTCGCTATAGCTCTCGTTTTCTGTTCTTTCTTTTTCTTCTCTTTTTTGTTCGTTCTCCGTGGAGAACCGACGATGTCGGCGGTCGGATTTCCGCGGGCATAAACGTGTGCAGCAATCGACCTTCGATGTCCCGGAATAGAATCGATTAGGATGGACAGACATAACTGGAGTGGATTCGATCAAATATTCTGTATACTACTTTCGTTAAACCTGCCGGACGTCTTTTAATATACGCACAAGATACAAACGTTCTAGGTCCCTGTATGTAGACAACCATACTCAATGTACGCTTGCGGATTGGCATTCTGGCGGTTAAAAATGTGAGCCGGTCGCGCGCCAGGCGAGCCGCGCCGTCGCGTGCGGTCGAAAATCGAGATCGTTCCGAGCCGAATCAGACAAAAGGAACACGGACGACCATGATCGCGCGATGCCTCCGCCTGCCGGGCCAACGGCTCACCGTATAAAATACAGTGTGGAGAACTGTCGACAACGAACACAACGAACAATACCGTTCTATAGCCCTGCTCCCCGTCCGAATAGCACTCGCGTGAACGTAACGCGACAGACAGACGTTTTATCAATGCAAGTCGATACACCTGGAGCGGCTTCGACCGGCCCTGAACACGCAGCGGGCGGGCCGAAAGTGGCCGGTGAACTTTCTTGGAAACCGATTCTCGATTATCCGACGGCTCTGAGACGAAAGGGGAGCAGCGCTCTGCTTGCCGGACAGCTTCGCCGACGCGGCCTCCAGCAAGCGGAGAAATCTTTTCCATTGCTTCCCCGTTGCTCGCAGAGCCGCCGAAGCTGCGAAATTTACTGTAGAACGAAAGGCCGGAGGCTTCTGTTTTCTGCAAGTTCCACCTGAACGGCGAATGAGGCCCGAAACACGCTAGCGAACAGTTCTCGAACTGGGCCTGACCGGTCGTGTGCTATCTTTTAATCATTCGCTGCCCGCTGATGCGAGGACTCCGCGTTGAATCAGAACGATCCAACCACTTGAACCGAGTCCGGGAACTGTTCGCTATTGTATTCCGAGCCGAACGGGTTGAGGAGTACGCGACTGAACGTGGGAGGGAAAGCGACGGATGAATAAGTATACCGACTATTTGTTCGAAAGCCGTCGGGGGTTTTCGGCGCGCCGGTCCTTACAGAGAGACGAACTCGTGCGGCGGCTGTATGATCCGCGGGGGCGGCGGGGGCGACAGCCGCAGGTCCACGTCGGTCAGGGAGAACGCGGAGCTGCCGTTCGCGGTGACGCGGGGCCCCATATTGTCGTAAGGCGAGCAGAGGTCCGTGGACCTCAGGGCCCGCCGCGGCAGCGTCGCGAAGCTGGAGACGCTCGAGGCGGCCGCTACGGCGGCGCTGGATTTATTGACCACGCCTCCGTGTACAGGCAGGTCCAAGAGGTCCGGATAGCATCGTTCGGACGAGTCCTGCGGCACTGACACCGAGATGAAGATGTTCCCGAAGATGCCGGCCGGTAGGACGCCGTTCGTGAACTCCGGCGGCGGCGGAGGGAACATGGCGGCGCATGGGACCGATCTGATCGCATTCGCGGCGCCACCGGCCGCCGCTTCCGGTCTGAGTCTCTCGATGGTGACGGTGGCGGCGCTCATGGGGTCGCAGATCGATCCCCGTTCCGCCAGCTCCAGGTCCCCGGCGCTGTACGTCTCGACGATGCTCCCGTGGCCGCTGCCCTGCTCGTTGCTGTTCCCGGGCGTGGTCGTCGTCACCGACAGGTCCAGCAGCTTCTTCTCCTGGTCGCCGAAGCTGGTGCTGCCCTGCAGTTTCACCTTCTCGCGAGCACTCTGCCTTCGGGCGCCACCGCACACGCAAAGCGCCAGCAGGACCGCGGAGATCGAGGCGCAGAGGGCCGCGGCCCCGCCGCCGGCCAGGCTCACCCACAGCAGCCAATTGTCACTCTGGGAGAGGGTGGGCGCTGTGTACACTCGCGGGATCGCCACGCTGACCGTGTCCCTGGCCAGGCCGGCGATGTTCCGCGCGAAACAAGCGTACTCCCCGGCGTCCCCGTCGCTCGCGTTGTACACCGTCAGGTTGCTCCACCTGTCGGTCACCTTGTCGGCGACCCGGCCGGCCGCGGGCCGCTCGTCGCGGTGCCCGTTGCGGCCGAGGTCGGAGGTCGCGTACGCGACGTAAGTCCCCGAATATGGTTGTTCGGCGAGCTTGGTGGCGTTCAACGGGCCGCCGTTCAGCTGCCACCAGACCTCGGGCTCCGGGTCCCCGGTGGCCAGGCAGGCCAGGCTCAGGTTCCCGTTCACTTCCACCTGGACGCTGCTCGCCAGGACGAAGACCACCGGCTCGCAGGCGAACTCCACCGGCTTCACGTCCTCCCACTTGCGACCCTCGAGCCGCGACGGCGACGAACACACTTGAGGCACGGAATACAGTTTTCTCGGCACGTCCGAGATCAGCCAGCTTCGGAAGTCCCGTAATCGGCAGTCGCAGCTCCATCGGTTCCCGTCCATGGTCAGGGTTTTCAGTCGCGGCAGGTTCGAGATCACAGCCGCGTCCACGTATTCCAGCTCGTTCTGGTCCAGCCGGAGGGACTCGAGGCCGGTCAGGTGCGCGAACGCCTTGCCGTGGATCTCCGACAGGGAGCACCGCTGCAGCTCCAGGGTCCTCAGGTGCTCCAGGACCGGGAACTGGTGGCTCCGCAAGCTGGTCAACGGGTTCCCGCTCAGGATCAGGATACGCAGCCTCTCGTTGCCCAGGAAGGTGCCCGGCTCCAGCGACGCCACGTGGTTGTCGGACAGGTCGATCTCGACGAGGATCGTCATGTTGCGGAACGAGTCCGCGTGGATCTGGTGGATGCCCGCGTTCCTCAGGAACACCTTCTGCAGGTTCAGCAGGCCGGATCGCTTGAAGATCTCCGACTGCAGCGCCGGGATCTTGTTACCGGACAGGTCCAGCACCTGCATCGCCGGGTCCAAAGATGCCGGCAAAGATGTCAGACCCGCGTCGTGGCACAGCGCCGACTTCTTGCCCGATGTCCATTTGCAGCTGCACACCGCCGGACAGTCGGTCCAGTCCGGGAACGCCGCCGCCTTCGACAGCAACGCGTACGTGCCCAGCAGGAACAACAGGGACAGCAGGAGGCTCCCTCGGAGAGGGTGCTGCTTTGCCCCTAACATGCCACTGGCTGTTTCTCTTCCCCGAGATTAGAAGCCTGGGGAACATTGAGATGCGTGTTAGAGCGAGGTTCGTCGAGAGGCGACGACCGGAGCGGAATACGGTAATGTCTCTCTAATTGACGCTTAGATTGTCTCTCTAATTGACGATTAGATTCGAGCCTTAAATCTCGTCTTTATAGTTGTTGATAATTTATAACTGTAAAACGAGGCGCAAGACTCAATTTAATCGTATCTCCTCTTCAAAAATTGTCCATTTTTGTGCACAATCTAAGGCGTCAATAAGGGAGACATTACTGTACAGTAATGTTTCTCTAATTGACGCTTAGATTGTCCAAGAATTTTGCGAGACGTGCGAGACGCGCGAGGAAATAAAATCGCGCACATCGGCGACTGAATTTCTAATTCTACAAATTTGTTTATTAAAGATTTCTTTTCAATTCTAAAAATTGAACGGTGTGCAAGTAGTATGAAATAATTATTTTTACTTCTCAGCTCAACTCAAACATTTCAGTAAATCAGATTCTGTATTTTGATTATCTTCCGCATTATATTTCGATTTTGAAATGAAAGTATCACCGAATTAACCCTTTACTATAAATCTAAACCAATTCTTCTGACTTATAGTATCTCCATTTTGCATGACAAAGTGCATTTTATGCATATAAAATTGAATCTCGCAGTGACTCGTAACGACAGTTACACTTTCAATAATTTTTCAAATCTAAACTTTGTTAACATAAAAATTATCGTGGAACGTCATACAACAATTTTAGTGCAAAGGGTTAACATTTCCGCTTATGATGAGTAAATCAAAGCGTTTTCTCGAAAGCAGCCGAATCCATTAAAAAGATGAACGCTTTACAGTCGATCTTCCCGAGAACGAGGAAGCCAATGAAAGAAAATGATGAACGACTCGTAAAAATCGAGAGTAAAACTGTCGCCGCTGTTTTAACAGCTGTTTGCCTCGTAAGGCGAGTATCCCGTTAAACTTGCAACGAGAAAACCGTGCACCCTATGGGACCAGCGTGTAAGAACGAACCGTCGTCCCACCAGAATGTCACCGGTGTCAAGCCCGCTGTAAATCGAAATCGTGGGTGTCGGTGGGGGACTTTAGAGAAGCATCGGAACAAGCGGGTATTAAAATAATCATCCGTTACACGCTGGAGGGTTGTTCGGCGCGCGTTCGTGGGATGATTGAGCGCAACAATCCCGTTGAAACGTTTTGAAACCTTCTGCATTGTTGGCCGGCCACTCTGTCATTTAGCCCATTCGCGTTAGCATGTAAAATTACGCGTGATAATTTCCGGATTAAACACGCCCTCCCCGCGACATAAGCGTCGCTACTTAACGCGTTATATTGCCTGCGCGCGGGCTGTTGATTAAACGCGACACGTGCTCGCCGGGTGCACTCGTCGATTTTAATTCCTCTGTCACGATGATCGTTCGCAAAACAAATGAATGTAAGCTCGGCCGGGCACCTCGCGCGATGCAACAGCGTGTACTCGCGTTTCATACCGGCGCGGTCGGGGCCCGTTTACGTCCCTTTTATACCGCCACGTCGGCGGGATCCCTCCGGGGTGCGCTTCGGCTTCTGTTCAACAGCGATTCGATTATCTTTACCGATCGCAACACGGCGATCCGCTCCCGGCGGATATTGTTGCTCGTTTCGCGAGAGAGTGATCCGCCGCGAACGCGCGTGCACGGATCCCGCGAAGCGTTGGAAACCGAACGAAACGCGTTCCGCGTCGATAAACCGGAGGCGGAGAAGAATACGCGCGCGGTTAAAGAGCCGCGTTAAACGCCGCGAATTCGCGGACGGGGGGGGGGCGGTTGTATGCCCGGGCAAAAAGAAAGGGAGCGTTGTTCGGGGAAGCGGCGCAACAATTTTTCTAATTAGTAATTATACTGGACGTGCGTGAAACGATCCTACGTGGAAGAGCCGAGCCGGCCCGGCCCGTGTTCTGTTTCTGGCAGCTGAATAAAACAGAATGAAAGCGACCGCTTCTCTATTACGAGATGTGAAAGCTCTGTGCGGACTTTTACGGGAGAGAGGAGCGCGGAGAGGGTCCCGTATAAAAGGGGACTTTATTTCGTGCGTTTTATTAGCGGTTAAACAGAGCAGGTATTTTGTTGGGCGCGCGCGGACTCGAACTTTTTACGCGGAACAATGATTAAAGGGGATCCCAAGTTCTAGGCGTGAGAATCGAAGATTTTCTGCGGGGGAGCATGAAAGGAATCTCGTGCGTTCGATTTTGCGGTACGATGGAAAATTTCTCCCGGAAATGACATATTTCGGGATGCTGTGAATTTCCCTGTGCTAGTCTTGCGCCTATGCAATTTATTGCTACATGTTTATTTACTGTCGTGGCACGTGGACCCCGAATTGCCTTCGAATTGAGTCATGTGGCCTACGAATTGCCTTCGAATCGCGTCATGTGGTCTCCAAATTGTCATGTGGCCTCGAATTGCCTTTGAATCGTGTCACATGGCCTCCAAATTGTCATATGGCCTTCGAATTGCCTCCGAATCGTATCGCGTATCCTCCAAATTGTCATATGGCCTCCGAATTGCCTTCTAATCGTATCACGTGGCCTCCAAATTGCCTCCATATTGTCATATGGCCTCCGAATTGCCTTCGAATCATGTCACGTATCCTCCAGATTGTCACATAGCCTTCGAATTGCCTTCGAATCATGTCACGAGGTCCTCGAATCGCCTTCCAATCATATCACCTGGCCCCCAAATTGCCTTTTAATCATTGCCTTCGAATTAGAAACAAAAAACTTCCGCGAGTTTCTACAAAAACGAGCCTCGAGAACGAAAAAGTCGCGTCAACGTATTCTCAAATCCGCCGATTACAATTCCGGCCTCGGAACATACCCGGTAGAAATTGCTGTACACAAGCAATTGCCGGTAATAATACCGTCGTCAAAGAGAACGCGGTTGATAACAGCCGCGCGGCCACGGGCGGCTTACCTATTTGTTTACGGGACGTCGAATATTAATAACGACAATCGAAACGGAAATCGTCCGGTAACGGCTAAACGGTACGCCGGGGGTTCGCTGTGCCCGCTAAGTCGACGGGCACAAAAGCGGGGATAAAATCGGGAACAAAGGGACGAATGCATTATCGGCGGAACGGTGTACATTTCGATTGTGGAAATTTAATCGACGAAAGCGCGGAATTACCTCTCCGGCCGGCCCGCGAAAATCGTTCGGCAACGTTCGACCGCCGCACCGTACGAGAAGCTTTCCATTATTTAACAGAGAGCGAAACAATCGTTGCGGACGGACAATGAAAATCGGGGAGAGCACGATTACAGCGGGTCGTTCGTTCGTTCGTTCGTTCGTTCGATCGCTCGATTTTCGCTACGAAGTTTTTCCAAAGCTAAATAGATGCGGAAATAATTGCCGAAGCTGCCGGCGCGGCGGCGGCGGGGGATCGATTCGACGGTTCATTAATACCGATACGGATACGCGTTTCTGAGCATCCAGTCGGAGGTTAACATCGAACACATCGCCACAGCATTAGCCGAATCGATTGCTCGACGCCGCGAGACCACGGTCGACGTAAATATGATTATACTAATGCGTTCGCTGAGATTTCGATTGCGCGGACTTTGACTCGGGCGCGACGATTCCGCTCGAATTTTACTCCGCGAAGATATTCGGGACCGTGGCGAAAAACAGATTCAATATCCCGTCCAATTCTTAGACTGTTTGCTCGCGATCCCTAGCTCACGACGGCAAACTTCCGTCGGGCGACGTCGATTAAAAACCGATATTCTCTGTGTGCTCGGAAAAATCGCTAGAAAAATCGTCGCGTTCCAAGGGCTCGACGCTCGCGGCCTTTGCCTTTAATCGCGATCATCCCCGCGAGATATGCTGTCTTTTGCGAACCGAAACGTCTACGAACAACGCGTTTCTTTCGATCAAGTTCGAGAAAATGATTATTCGGTGGAAGATGCAACGCGCGGCTGGAGGCGCACGGTACAGAAATGCCTCTCTAATTGGCGCTCAGATTGTCCACAGAAGATGGACAATTCGGGAGGAGGAGAAACGATTAATCGAGCCTTGCGGCTCGTTTTCATAGTTACGAATTGTCAAGAACTATAAAAACAAGCTATAAGTCTCGAATAATCGAGTCTCCTCTTCCCAAATTGTCCATTTTTCTGCGCAATCTGTGCGTCAGTTAGGGAGACGTTGCTGTGGTTACGGGAGAAAATGGAGATGCCTGGGTGCGCGTTGGGTGCAACAGTCGTGTTATGCCGCTGTGTCGCGTGTGCGTGTGCGTGTGTGTGTGTGAAGGGATCGGGGCATCGGCGATCGGGTGATCGCGATTCGAGCATCGAATGCGATTCCTCGGAAGCCCCGCCGGTGTGTTCTTACTTGATCGTCTCGTTTGGCCGCCACTAAGCATGCCGTCTGCGTGTCTGAATGGGGCCGTCATGCTTGCGTGGACGCTTCCATTGTTTCTCAGGGGCTTTCATTTCGCCNAAGCGCGGAATTACCTCTCCGGCCGGCCCGCGAAAATCGTTCGGCAACGTTCGACCGCCGCACCGTACGAGAAGCTTTCCATTATTTAACAGAGAGCGAAACAATCGTTGCGGACGGACAATGAAAATCGGGGAGAGCACGATTACAGCGGGTCGTTCGTTCGTTCGTTCGTTCGTTCGATCGCTCGATTTTCGCTACGAAGTTTTTCCAAAGCTAAATAGATGCGGAAATAATTGCCGAAGCTGCCGGCGCGGCGGCGGCGGGGGATCGATTCGACGGTTCATTAATACCGATACGGATACGCGTTTCTGAGCATCCAGTCGGAGGTTAACATCGAACACATCGCCACAGCATTAGCCGAATCGATTGCTCGACGCCGCGAGACCACGGTCGACGTAAATATGATTATACTAATGCGTTCGCTGAGATTTCGATTGCGCGGACTTTGACTCGGGCGCGACGATTCCGCTCGAATTTTACTCCGCGAAGATATTCGGGACCGTGGCGAAAAACAGATTCAATATCCCGTCCAATTCTTAGACTGTTTGCTCGCGATCCCTAGCTCACGACGGCAAACTTCCGTCGGGCGACGTCGATTAAAAACCGATATTCTCTGTGTGCTCGGAAAAATCGCTAGAAAAATCGTCGCGTTCCAAGGGCTCGACGCTCGCGGCCTTTGCCTTTAATCGCGATCATCCCCGCGAGATATGCTGTCTTTTGCGAACCGAAACGTCTACGAACAACGCGTTTCTTTCGATCAAGTTCGAGAAAATGATTATTCGGTGGAAGATGCAACGCGCGGCTGGAGGCGCACGGTACAGAAATGCCTCTCTAATTGGCGCTCAGATTGTCCACAGAAGATGGACAATTCGGGAGGAGGAGAAACGATTAATCGAGCCTTGCGGCTCGTTTTCATAGTTACGAATTGTCAAGAACTATAAAAACAAGCTATAAGTCTCGAATAATCGAGTCTCCTCTTCCCAAATTGTCCATTTTTCTGCGCAATCTGTGCGTCAGTTAGGGAGACGTTGCTGTGGTTACGGGAGAAAATGGAGATGCCTGGGTGCGCGTTGGGTGCAACAGTCGTGTTATGCCGCTGTGTCGCGTGTGCGTGTGCGTGTGTGTGTGTGAAGGGATCGGGGCATCGGCGATCGGGTGATCGCGATTCGAGCATCGAATGCGATTCCTCGGAAGCCCCGCCGGTGTGTTCTTACTTGATCGTCTCGTTTGGCCGCCACTAAGCATGCCGTCTGCGTGTCTGAATGGGGCCGTCATGCTTGCGTGGACGCTTCCATTGTTTCTCAGGGGCTTTCATTTCGCCGACCGGTCTCCTTCAGGCATCACGGACCTATTGTCCACGGGTTCTTAGATTTCATTCTGATTAAGCGCGGCGTACGGTGTTCGCGGTGCGCGCGGGCTGGCCTACTTCTCCGATTCCGTCTCGCCGGCCCTCTAATCTGCAACAAACAAAGAACAACAATCCCTCGATTATGTAACCTCCTTTTTTTTCTTGTTTTATCTCCGGCTCCCTCTCGCTCTCTGTCTCCCTCCTCTCAATCCCTCTCTCACTCCCCCACTTCCGTCTCTCTCTCTCTCTCTCTCTCTCTCTGTCTCTCTCTCTCGGTCCCCCGTGTTGCTCCGTTCGGCTCTGTCTCTCGCTGGGTTTTTCGTCCGCGAATCAGATCCGGTGGCGTCGACGCGCCGGTGTGCGACCAAACAAAACGTTGCCCGAACGGAACTCGCGTTTCTCGAGAGTCGATTACGGTAACGCGCAGCACGAAGAGAGCGGTCGACGTTGTTTCCCGACGCAACGCGACGCCGACGACGACAACACCGACGACGACGACGACGCCGCGACGAGAGGCGACCCCGGAGTCGAGCTCGACGCGACCCGCCGCGCGGTGTCGTGAAAAGCAAGCGAGCAAGCAAGCAAGCAAGCAGCCCGCGCCTCGATATCGGGCAACGAACGCGAATTTTCAAGCCTCTCCGGGCCAGCAACCTCCGTCACGGGGCACACGAACGCTTCCGGCCGCCTACTAAGGCATATTAATTGCTGACTCGGCTAATGGTATGCCCGCGTAATGCGCCGCGAAATTTATATCGATCATAAATTAGTCGTAAAACTCGGCTGCTCGAGGAGCACGCCGCGCCGCGCGGACCCCAATAATTTCCAATCTCTCCGATATACGGAACCGTAAAAGGCTCGTCCGTCCTGCCCCCCGCGTACGCCGAAGGACACCGTCGAGCTAATTGAATTCTTCCGAGCAGCTTGGCTCCGGCCATCGGCGGCGCGCTCGAGAACCGACACGGTCGAGAACGAGGGTTGTTAGTTAGCGGACGCCACTTTCGGGTTTAGGAATGGATGGCTCACCGGTAGTCGACGACGTTGACGACGACGTTGACGTCGACGATATATCCGTTTGGCTCCTCGACGAGATTCGGGCGCACCGTTTTCACTCGCAAACACCACAGTCGTCCCTCCTGTCTCCCAAGCAGCTCGTCCTCTCCTCCCCCACCCGCGGTCCCTGTGTCGCGTCCCGTGTCTTCATTCACCGATTCACCGATTCACCGCGGGTCGGAGCGGCCGAGAGCGGACGAAATCGGGCGCGAGCGGGCGAGAGCACTGGAAGCCCGAGGAAGTCCCAGAAACGGAAACAAACGCGGCGACAATAACGTCGACGACGACGACGACGACGCAGACGACGCAGACGACGCACTTGTCAGCTTCTCCTCTCCACGCGTAGTATCGGACGTGTGTTCGCCCGTTCTCACGAGAGGACACCCCCCACCTGTGCCGACGCGGGGTCGTCGACTGGCATCGAGCGTACTTTCCTATTATCCTCTTCGGCGATCAATCAATCCGGCTAACCGCCGCCGAAGTCGCGGGCACAGGAGCCGCCGAACCAGCCGATCCCCAGCTCGTCCGTTTCAACCCTTCCGTCCGAGCGTCGCTCCTCGATGGCAGATGCTGCGGCCGCGCCGCTCCATCGAGCATTTTCATCCCCCGAGCGCCGTGCGTCCGCCGGCGCCAGCTCGACCCTGCTTCTCCACCGGAGGGAAGGAAGGAACACCTCGGCCGTTTTACCTCGAGAAAATCGCGAGCCCGCGATCCTGGCCGTCCGGGGCCGCGACGGGGCCTTGTATCGCGATCGCCGCCCGTCCCAGCACGCACAGAGCACACGCGAAACCCGCAGATTTGCCGCAGAGGCCACCGACACGATGCCTCCGTGTCCCCGTGTCTGTTCCTCTCGCTTCCCCCTCTCCCGCACCCGCGACCGCCCCTTCGTCCCGCGCCGCCCTCCGCGCCGGATTCTCCTCTCCCTCCCGCCGCCGACTGTCCCTTTCCGACTCCCTTGCCGCATAGACGACCGTCCGCGGGCAGCACCGTCGAATTCTCTGGTTCAATGAAATCCGTACCAACCCCCCTCGACCCCGCCACCTTCTCGCGCCCTATAACCTTTCGACCCCGCTCGGCCCTTTTTCCTACTCGCGGGTCCGCTCGCGGGAACCCGCTCGTCTCCGTCGACGACGCGGGATCCACGAGAGCTTTCGAGATCCCGCAACGGACACCCTTCGAGCGACGCGCCAGGGGCGCGGGAAGGGGCGGCGGTGTTTCTAAGAGGACCGAGGGTCTTGCCGACGCAAGACGCGCGGCGAATTAATCGACGAGAGGGTGCCGATGACTCGATCGATCCGAACGAGAGCGGCGAGGCTCTGCCACTCTCGGCGACGCTTCCGCCGCTGTTTGCCCGCAGGAATCTGGCTTACCGACGCGGCGCTCGCGCGCGCCAGTGTTTTTAGGGGGGCCGGAAGGTGGAGGACCCTGGGGAGCTTTTGATTTCGCCGGCTTTTTGACTCGGAACGGCGGCCTGGGCGAGCTTCGATCGCGATTCGACGAGGAATCGAAAATCGAGAAATTCGCTTCGATTCGCAATTCGATGCAGAAGCGGCGGAGGGGAGAACGAAGCGGCCTTGAAGATGCTATCCTCTGGTCTTGAATCTCTGTTCGACGTTCTGGTCACGAAGCGCGCGGCTTTTTTTCTTGCCTCGAAGGGCTGCACGCCGATAGCAGCGATCGATTATGCTTAACGCGTTCGCGGCCGAACGGCACGTGTTACACGCGCATAGAAGACCGCCGAATCTACTCTCGTCGCTCGGAATAAAAGATGTATAACAGCTTCGAACACATGGTACATGTAATTGGACAGAGGGTTTCTTTTTTTTTCCTATGCGGATACAAATTCGTACGGCCTAATTTACAGAAGTCTCTAGAGCATGCTTCGTGTGACGAACACGTGTCGGCGACCATCTACGATTAAGCCGCGTGACATCGGTGTATTTAGAGGCCCGCGTAACTAAAGAATTCTCTCGGCAGCGATTCGCGCTCGTTTTTTTCAACGCCGGTCGCTTCTTTTTTCTTTGTTTTTTTCTTTTTGTACAACGCTTTCGTTCTCCTCAATTACTAAGCTATACGTATAGACGATTAAACACGCGAAGCCGCCGTTCTTCAACGCTACGTTCAATTCTACAAAACGGTGCTCGCGTTTTACGGGAAAGAATGCGGCTGCGAATGCGTGCCCTAGAAAAGAACAGATATGACCGGCGAGAGAAGAATCGAAAATCGAAACGTAAAAGGATGCATGGATCAGATCGATGGGATTTGTTTGTCGCGCCGGTTCTCGATGTCGCACCTCCGTCTACGTTTTCAGCATTTTATTACAAGAATATAGTATAAACTTTCGTTTCGATAGGGTCTGTGTGGTTGTGTGTCCTCTGTGTGTACGTGTGTGCAACGTCGGTCGCGTATGATCCGTGTTCTTCTTTTTTTATACATATGAGTCGTCTCTCTTTCTCTCCCGCTCTCTCTCTCTCTCTCTCGCTCTCTCACTCTCACTTTCTCTCTCTCTCTCTCTCTTTCTCTCTTTCGTTTCTCCTTTCGCCCATGTCCCCCTCCCCTAACCCCTCGCACGCCAGGCCACGATAGTCAATAGCTTTCGATAGTTGATCGATATACGTATGATAATATATCTTGTGTAATCTTACGTTTTACCTTATCTCCGCTAAATTGTAATCTATATATATATAATATACATATATAGGTATATCTTCTGTGTACGCGCGTTTCTGTTTGTGCGTGTGCGTGTGGGTCCGTGTGTGTGGCTGTGTGTGTTCTGTTTTTTTAAATTCTTGTGTGTTCTGTATTCTTTTCTCGTTACTGGAAACATACTTGGCAGTTCACCGGCAGTTCTAATAGTACAACGAAGCATTTTTCATTTCCTTTTCACCAGTTCTTCTTTCTTCCGTTCTTCTTCCTCTGCCTCTTCTTCTTCTTTCTCACTCTTTCTCTCTTTCTCTCTCGCCCTCGCTCGCTCTCTTTCTCTCTCTCTCGCATTCTCTCATTATCTTTTACTCTCTCTCTCTCTCTCTCTCTCTTTCTCTCTCTCTCAAGCGCGCGCGCGCGCGATCTCAACGACGCGCGCGAAACGCCGCGACCGGACCGATCGGATCGACGAGGACCGCCGCGATCGAGCGAGTCTTATAATTGATATGTCAGTGGGTTTTCTTATTCTCTTATCAGCGAACCTCCAGCTCCTCTCGGGGAAAGCGTAGTTAACTGCGAAACGCCAGCCGTCTCCCTCGGCTCCTCAAGGTTATTTCCAGCTGTTCGCTGCAACATGAAACACAGATCATCGCGCTGTCACGTCGGGCTACGAGTTTTAATCGTCGATTGTCGAAATGGCCGTGAGATTGGGATAGTTCAGTGAATCGTTCGCAACCGTTTCTCGAAGATTTCCTCGAACTCGCGCGCTTTGTCGATCATTTTCGCGAGACAGCTCGCGCTTTTCTCTCTTCCTCGATCGCGAAGCACGGCAATTTCTCCCTAATTCGCGCTCAGATTGCGCACAAAAGTGGACAAATTTGGGAAGAGAAGATACGAATATTCGAGCCCCGCAGCATAGTTTTATAATTGCCGATTCTCAATTATTGCTGTAAAAACGAGGCGCGAGGCTCGATTAATCGCATCTCCGCTTCCCAAATTCTCCATTTTTGCGCGAATTAGGGAGAAATTAACTATAACAAGCGCCAAGCGTATTTAATTTAACCTCGAAGTGCACCAGTCGACTGTCCATCGCTTTTTATCTCGTGTCAAATATGAGGTCGAACTGTTCCAATCGCCGTTCGACTTTTCGGAAACGATCCTCGCCGAAGATTTTAACGAGACTTTTTTAATCGCTTCGTTCTATCGTCGATGTTATTGCAACCGAAACGTGTTATCGTTGAATGTTCGTACTACCGTTCGATAGATCGATGTTTCCGGATAACGCGACGAACTGAAATATTTATTTTATATGAATAAAAAAAGGTACGAGCATGTACCCGCGCTATGGAACACTGTTCGTAAATCGGGACAATGGAAAGATCGAAGTACGCGATTTGGAACAGTATGTTGTTGCTCGAATGAACATTTTTTTTTTTAAAGTGATTTACAGAGAACAGTGTTCAAAAATATCGGCAGAAGTTTAACATCGACTTTCGTATGCTCCATCTATTTTTTTTATCGCATTGTTCGTGTTTTATTTGCATTGTTTCGAGGAGAAGGCGTGTTTCCGTTTCCGTAAATTTCTCGGAATTTAATGCGAGGGAATTGAACTGTTCCGTGCGAGCATTTCACGTTAGATCTGGGTCAGGTCTTCGTCGAAATAGGCGAGGTAATTATTAAAATAATTCTCGGATATCTCATACTTTCTGCTAAAAAACGCGAAGCGTTTCGTACATCTTTCTTTTCGAATTTTCGCAAGTATCTCAGAAACGAAGACCGAGTTATCTATAATATTTATATAATATTTATAAAATATCTATAGGGAGATGTTGCCAGGATGACGGCCTCGACGACGTATTTCAAGGTTATCGAACTTCAGCGAACAGATATACAGTGTGTCGTGTAAATTGCGGTACAGTCAAATAGCGGCTGATTCTACGCGAAAAAAATAAATCGAAAACGTGGAATAAATTTTTGTCATTCGAGGCTCCGTTTCCGAGAAAAAGTAGCTCAAAGAAATAACACTATCGAATAGGAATCAAATGACGCGTCTGATCATCGCATACCGATTCTACTTCTCGTCGTATCGCGCGAGCTTGACGCATCTTCAAACTCAATTCCCTCGACAACAGAGCCTTAAACGGAGAAACGTTATTCTTCTTTTTCGACTTATTCTTCGACGTAGAATCCTTCGATATCTTATATTTCCGCATTCCGCAATATTTCATACCTTTTTAAGGCCACCGAGTTCCGAGGCCGACAGATTCGCGTATTTCTTCAAATACTTGCAGATTCAAACCAAAGCGATTAAAAGAAGAGCTCCCGTTAAAATGTAACAGAACGGATCGTTTCCGACAAGCTCGCCCGATTATCGCGCGAAGAGAGAATTTCTGTCGCCGATGAAAATATCGTTCGCTCGCGTTTTCGAAAAAAAAAACGAGGACGCGCGGGAACCGAATAGGCTCGCCGGCGGCCGGCGAAAACGTAGGACAACTGTCCGGTCCGGCCAATAATTGATTATTTTTGCGTAAAGGTGCGCTATAAATAATTGCATCGAAATGGGACGCAGGTGTGGCCGGCGTGTCGGATCCGTTCACCCTCGTTTCGTCGCCGGGAGAAGCAGAAATATGCCGGGGCGAAATTAGGCGGGACGAGCAGCGGCAACCCAGTTCCAGCGAATATTCAATGAACTTTTCCCATTTTATCTCGCGGCCATTGTGTACGGCTTCTCGTACCTTTGTAATATATGTCCCTGTTCATTGTCGGACAGTTTTTCGGTCCCTGGGGAACGGCACAACAGAAGGGGAAGAAGAAACGTTTAAACAATCAGCCTGCCTCGCCTGCCGGCTCCGCCGCGGATCTCTGTGCAAACGCGGCTCCGAAACGAAGCAATTTACGAAAATCGAGAAGGATCCCCCGTTCCGAACGCTCCGCAGACTGCAGCGGGGATCACGGATTTATTTATTCACGGACGAATATAGATTCTATTGGGTCAGATATATCCGTCTTTCGGAATAATCAAAATTATCGGGAATTCTTTCGAATCGTCTGTTGCTCTTCGCGACACCGTTCTTTTTTTCGGTTTTTCCAGAGCTTTTCTCCGCAATTGCACAAAGCTCCGCGGTATAATGATCATCGGCCCGGCGTCGGGTTCGGTACCTGCACGTTGAAGTCAATGTTTGTTCGAACAGGACGATGATGAAGCTGCTGAGGCGGCCTGTAATTATTCCCGAGGGGCGCGACCGGGTCGTTCTGCACGCCTCTCATCAGCACCCGCAACGCCAGCAGCTGAAAAGACACACGAATCAGCTCTAGGACGAATCGCGGATCGATCCTCACCTTCTCTCCGATCCCCGCGGGGGCCTTAAATAGTTAGGCCCCATTGATCCCTGAAACGGAAAGTCCGACACGCGAGACCCGCGATGAATCCACCGGGTTTTATTTATTATGGTGATGGACCGTGGTACGGCGAGCTGTACCCCACGGCACACGACACATTGTTCGGTTATTTTGCATCCCTTTGCTTTGCCGGCGGTGCAACTTGTCGCGGGGAATTAGCAAGTATAATCCTTGCCGCACTGACACGGGTTGTCGGCCGGAATTTTATCGAATTCGTCGTCGGCCGACTGCGACGCCGATCCTCGAGCTTTAATCGCCAAGGAGATCGAGTTCGAGGGCTGTGGAGCATTATTGCGCTCGATTAACAATATCGTGTTTCGTTTCTAGTCTTAGTTTTTGTGACAATGCGAACACTTTCGTGCTGGATTGGTCTGATAAATGAAGAATATGAAATATGGAATATGGAACATGGAATTATGTAGATTATATAAAATAAATATATAGAATGTAGAATATAGAATATAGAATATAGAATATAAAATAAATATATGGAATGTAGAATATAGAATATAGAATTATATAGAATATGGGGAATATAGAATATAGCATATAGAATATAATAGAATATAGAATTATATAGAATATGGAATATAGAATTATATAAAATATGGAATATAGAATATAGAGAATTATACAGAACATAGAATATAGAATATAGAATTATATAGAATATAGAAAATAGAATATAGAATTATATCGAATATAGAAAATAGAATATAGAATAATATAGAATACAGAATATAGAATATAGAATATAGAATATAAAATATATAAAATAAATATATATATATGTAATATAGAATATAAAATATTCTAAACATCTTGAAATCTCTGAGAATATATTTTTGTCTTCAATAAAATTACAATTTAAATGGCCAGTGGTTGCGAACGCAGCTAACTGGTTGATGAACTGTAGATCAGTAGAAAGTGGTAGAAGGGAGGTATCGATTGTATATTGCGGGTGTCCGATGAATGGCCGACTTATACAAACGCACCACTGAACCCTGTCTCGTTTAATGGCCGCTGGCACATGTATGCGATGCTTTAATAATTATGCAGGCGATTGCTTTAATAACGATAACACCAAGCAAATATACACACTTTTTTGTATCAAATGCATTGTTACCGTCGTTGTTTTTTGTTTTACGTGTACGTACGCACACGTTGAATCATTTCATGAATTTGCACATTTTCGATGAAAAAAAAGCAATTGACGTGCAAATGAAATCGTTGTTTCTCCACCACGTGCCCCCGATTTCGGTGTGGGGGGCTGTTAGGAACCCGGCGACGAGCGAGGCTTTGAAAGTATTACAGTTGTACGTTAATGAGCGACTTAATTGATCGTCGCGATTTTTCGGGGATTCCGATTCTGCCGGCGTGGAAATCACGATAAATAAAAAGACGCGAGCTCTCTCGTTGGAGCAGCCTGTACAATTTCACACTCGAAAGGGGCCGATTGGGAACGGTTAATCGGTTGCCGGGCACGGATCATTTGCCGCAACAAAATACACGCGGCCGAAAAAAAGGAGAAAAAGAGAGAGAGAGAGAGATAGGGTGCAAGCGCGTTAATCCTCTCCAGTCAAAAACAGCCGGCGCCACTCGACATGAATCACCCTCTATACCAAACAAAGCTGCGAGCGGAGATTTCCGGCTCTCCATTAATTACACTGGGATTTCGCTCTCGACGACACGGCGTCGACATAATTTTCCAGTCAACAATTTTTTTTTCTCCCTCCGCTCCGCCCACCTTGCCGCACCCCCACCCCGGGGGTGTCGCGCGAGGAACACGTGTAGCTCTCGTCCGCGGGATAAATCGCGTGCGCGCATCGCCGGGATTAATTTGACGGGGCAACGAGCCAAAAATAATTGCTCCTTCGTCGCGCGGCCAGCAAATCGGTGACGAACGGCAGGGAGGGAGCAGGAGGAGGAGGCGGGGGTAGTTTTCACGGCCCTCGAGCCCCGACGCAATCGAGACCGCCCTTCGTACTTTACGCCGCGGCTCGCGCTGCAAACGCGCGGAGCGCAACTTTTCGAGCACTTCTCTCTCTCTCTCTCTCTCTCTCTCTCTCTCTCTCTCCCTGGTCCCTTAATGAACCGAAACTTTTTCTGCAGACGTCCGGCCGAGATTACCCGGCTAAACACCGCCGCCGTCGCCGCGAAAAAACGGTCGAACCGCGGGAAAAAGGAAAGTGTTGCCGGCCGGCGCATTTTTTTTCCCGCCGCGTCTCTCTATCGGCCGTTTAATTCGATTTTCACGGCCGTTCGATTTGATTCGCTATAATTCGACGGGATCAACTGCGCCACATTATGGCCGCGCGTGCACCGTGACCGAGCGAGCGATCGTTTTTTTATTTTCAGGCTCGACGCATCGTTGCTCGAAGAGCCGCGTCGCCGATAAAATGCAGCCTGCCCGGCTGGATACGCGCGGATCGGAAGCAGGAAACGAGCCGTCGCCGCTCGTCCCGCTGACAAATTGACAGGTGGACGGGGCAGAGAAAGCTGCGAACTCAGCTTGTAATTATTCAGACGATTAAATGATATTAATGATAAAGCGGGCCGCGGGTCGTCGTCGATCGAGCGACGAGAGTCGCCGGGATCTCTCTTCCGGCAATAATTCCGTATAATAATATTTGATGTAATGTGTATTGTAATATATAATGTAATAATATATGATGTGATATATTATGGTATATCGTATAATGATATGTGATATGATACGTTATAATATATGATATGATATATTGTAATATATTATATAATAATATATGATATGATGTAAGATATTATAATATAATATATTAT